ATGGATGGTTTGGAGACCAGAGATTTCAGACAATGAAAGGTCTGGAGACCAGGGCTTTCAGACGATGGAGGGGCTGGGGACCAGGGCTTTTAGATGATGGAGGGTCTGGAGACCAGGGCTTTCAGATGATGGAGGGTCTGGAGACCAGGGCTTTTAGATGATGGATGGTCTGGAGACCAGGGATGTTAGATGATGGAGGGTGTGGAGACCAGGGCTTTCAGTCGATGGAGGGTCTGGAGACCAGGGCTTTTAGATCATGGTCTGGAGACCAGGGCTTTCAGATGATGGAGGGTCTGGAGGCACCAGGGCTTTTAAGACTTTACTCAAGATTTCTGAAGACCCCTCTCCTTCAGACCACCACCACTGGGCAGCCCTGTTGTTCCCCCCTTGATTTATTTAGTGACTTGAAAACTGGAGATAGAAGAGCACTCTGAGACAGGGAAATCCTGTCTTCTTCACGATGAGCTTTGGCTCACCAATAAAGGACAGAGGTGATGTTCACCATACGTCTTCATGGTCAAGTCACCATGTACCACCAGACCACAAAGCCATCTCTGCCATGTCCTCAACCCAACAAAGCCCCTCTGTGGCCACTGCAGCTTGTGGCTGGTTTTCTGGTTGCTTTTTTCCTCCAAAAAGAAGGAATTAAGGAGAAGAGATATGGAAAGGACGTCCTGGCACAGATGTCCTTGTCTGCAGGCACGGCAGGAGATGGGCACTGGCGGGGAGTAGCAGGACATGTCCACCAGCACGTCCCCGCTTCAGACATCCCGGTTAGGAAGAAGAAAAACATCTGAGTGTTTTTCCTTCTGGACAAAGCTTCTCCCGACCTCCCAGCCTTGATGTTTCCCTCACTTGAGGGGCAGAAGATCTGGGTGGAAAAGCAGCAGGGTGAGGTTTTGGGGGTAGGTTGTCTCACCGGGTGGATTTAGTGCAGGATCGAGGCGAGGAGATCCGGTCCCCAAGCTGCTTTTTTTCCATGAGAAAAAAACATTTACGGAAAATTCGGAGGCTTGGCCCTGGCCGCTGGCCTTTCTGTCCCACCTTTTGTTGTTTAACTTCATTAAAAAATAATTATTATTTTAATTTTTTTTTACAAAATGGTATTTCAAGCCTAAGTTTGCCTGGGAGCTGACTCAGCCGAGCGCTTTCGCTGCGAACGGAAAAACCGTTTCCAAAGCAGATTTAGCCTCTGGACTTCCCCGAAGCATCCGGGAAGGGGTTAAAGGTTCTTTTTCCTTTGGGAATGGGGGCGAAAAAGTACGTACGGGGTTTGGGGGATTTCTCCTCCTGGTGTTGAACGTCGGAGCATCCGTCGGGGCGATTCTGGGATGCGTCTCGGTGCTCCGAGCCATCGGGTGGGAAACTTGCATCCCCTTTGCTGTGTTAATAACCGGAGCGGTACTTGGCTGGCCGTTAAGGTTCCTGCTAATTGCAGCCACCTCGTTAGGCCGCTTTCCTTCGGGAAATCGGATTTTTGCTTTTATTTGGGGCTGTTTCACACTGGGCCAGCTCTCGGGGAAGAGCCGGGTGGCTGCCGGTACCGTGCCCCGTGCCCCAGAGTCTACCTGGATGCAGGAGAGGATAATCTTCCCCCGCCACGGGCAGTATCGGGAGAGCGATGGAGACCAAACATCCCATCGGGCCGGAAGTTGGTCCGGATGAGAAAATGTCAATATAACCAGTTTTCCCTCCGGGATGGCTTTTTAGATCCTGATGGCAGAGTTTGGAAAGCCGCAAGCGAGCCGTCTTCCCCTCTATCCCCTCACTTCGGGCCTCGAGCATCGTCCACAGGGATGTGGGGCATCTCCAGCTGCTTTTGGGCTCCTCAGCTGCCTCCCAACCTCCCAGCGGGGAAGGAAAAACCGTTTTTTAAAGCTTCGATGGTCAGGAGCGGTGGGGCAGGGAGAGGATTTGGGGAGAAGGACCAAACCCCCTTCCTTTTATCCCCCATCCCAGGGGATTCCCCACCTTTAAATACCATTAAATCCTCACACGCACACATCTCAGCATCTGGATACGAAACGAATTTTTGGTTTAACTTGCCCGTGGGGTGCAGCTGGAGCCACTCGGCTCGGCAGCGTCTGGGGGAAGGCCGGGTTTTATTGAAAAATCTAATGGTGCCACCTGAAGCGTGATTTACTGCACTGTCCACTCCTCGGACTTGATAATATATTTCTATTAGATTTCCTTCTTTTTCCTTCCTTTCTCCTCGCGAAGAGTGGCAAGTTTCGCCGTCTGCCTGACACCTTCTCAGGCTTAGGCAAAATAAATGTTGATTTTCATCAAGGAGGAAGATTTAGCGTTGGAAGTCCTAAATTCTCCGGCGAGGCTGACAAGCTCAGCAAAAGCCGCCCGGCTTGCGATGGAGAGCTCGTGATCCGGCCCCCGGTTCTTCTCTTTGGAAGCAGTTCAATCATCGTAATGAAAAAGGGGTTTCTTAGCCCGGCTTGCGCTAACTAGAAATTATATACCTGGTTCCTGGAAGATGGATTGCGCGGCTGCCGAAATGCAGAGAAGAAAAGAAGGAGGGGAGGTGGAGAGTGGCGGAGGGGGGGGGGGGGGGAAGAGAGTGAAGGCGCGCGAGATGCGACCCAAGATTGATCACGCCATTTGCAGGATCTCCCATGCACAAAAGCGGCAAATATATTTTCGTTTCCCGGGGTGGGTTAAGCAACACACACCACACACGCACACCCCCCTCTTTGCTCCGGGTCTTTTGTGGCAGAGCGTTTTGCCTGTCCCCGGCTGCTCCCTGCTGGGGCAAAGCAGCCGCCGCTCCATCCTTTTCCAGGAGCAGCGTCTTCCCTCCATCCCGCGTGAGAAACTGGTCCGGTTTCATCCTTTTTACAACCTGGTTTTGGTTTGATTTCGTTTTCGCCCTCCTCGATGTTTCGAGGAATACATTTGAAATCGGGTGGGGATGCTCTGAAAGGCTCCGTGCAACCCCGTACCGAAGTCAGGAAGCGAATTACGGTCGATTTAAAAATCACCTTTTTCTTCTTTTTTCCTCACACCACCCCCACCCCCCCCAAAAAAAAAAGAAATCTATATTTCTACTTCTGTAATCATATTTGCTTTGAATTTCAAAGCGTGGCTTTCCTGCCGCTGCACAGGTATTAGCTAATGAAGTTTCTTCGAGAGGGGGAGGAAATTGAGCCGTTTCTATCGTTCACGTTGGACCGGGAACGAGGAGATGCTGATTTTGACCCCTCGGGGTCAATGGTTTCACTGGACCCTAATTACGGCAACTGGAGGGGGGGTGGGGGGGGAGGGGTGGTGACACAGATTTGGAAATCCCAAGCTGGAAAAACCATCTGACTCGACGCGAAAGGGATACTCGGGGTGGGCTGGAAAATGCGGAGGGTGGTCCGAGGCTGAGCGGGGCGTGATGGGTGTCTGCTCGGTGTTGCCCTTCCCCGAAGCTGAATTCGGCTGCGTCGCCGGTGACTAATAGCCAAGTCCGTCGTGGCTGCTCCGCAACCCTCTGATGTATGGGTGTTATATTAAGGGTGGAAAGGTGCTAAATGAGCCCTCTTTATTTTACATAAATTAGCTCAAAAGCTATGTATCACTGCCACGGCGGCTTAGACTCCGAGCAAGTTTGTTTAAAAGGAAAGAAAAACTCTTGGTGGCTCCCCGTTGTCGGATGCTGCTTGTGGTCCTCACCCTTCCTGCATCCCGTGCCCCAAAACCTTCTCCTTTGGGCTCTCAAGGCCGCTCGAAGGAGCCCGTGGTCCCACCTCCACGTTGGGCATCATCCCTGGGAAGTGGGATGCAGTGGAGGCTCCTTGTTGTCGGATGCTGCTTGGGGTCCTCACCCTTCCTGCATCCTGGGCCCCAAAACCTTCTCCTTTGGGCTCTCAAGGCCGCTCGAAGGAGCCCGTGGTCCCACCTCCACGTTGGGCATCATCCCTGGGAAGTGGGATGCAGTGGAGGCTCCTTGTTGTCGGATGCTGCTTGGGGTCCTCACCCTTCCTGCATCCTGGGCCCCAAAACCTTCTCCTTTGGGCTCTCAAGGCCGCTCGAAGGAGCCCGTGGTCCCACCTCCACGTTGGGCATCATCCCTGGGAAGTGGGATGCAGTGGAGGCTCCTTGTTGTCGGATGCTGCTTGGGGTCCTCACCCTTCCTGCATCCTGGGCCCCAAAACCTTCTCCTTTGGGCTCTCAAGGCCGCTCGAAGGAGCCCGTGGTCCCACCTCCACGTTGGGCATCATCCCTGGGAAGTGGGATGCAGTGGTGGCTCCTCATTGTTGGATGCTGCTTGGGGTCCTCACCCTTCCTGCCTCCTCTGCCCCAAAACCTTCTCCTTTGGGCTCTCAAGGCTGCTCGAAGGTGCCCGTGGTCCCCCCTCCATGTTGGGCATCATCCCTGGGAAGTGGGATGCAGTGGTGGCTCCTCGTCAGATGCTGCTTGGGGTCCTCACCCTTCCTGCCTCCTCTGCCCCAAAACCTTCTCCTTTGGGCTCTCAAGGCTGCTCGAAGGTGCCCATGGTCCCACCTCCACGTTGGGCATCATCCCTGGGAAGTGGGATGCAGTGGTGGCTCCTCGTTGTTGGATGCTGCTTGGGGTCCTCACCCTTCCTGCATTCCGTGCCCCAAAACCTTCTCCCTTGGGCTCTCAAGGCTGCTCGAAGGTGCCCGTGGTCCCACCTCCACGTTGGGCATCATCCTTGGGAAGTGGGATGCAGTGGTGGCTCCTTGTTGTCGGATGCTGCTTGGGGTCCTCATCCTTCCTGCCGGGAAGAGAAGCTCAGGATGCAATTAGATGCTCTCGTTTATTTTTCTTCATTTGCTTGCTAATTATTACTCTCGTTGGCGATACTGTGCCCTCTGGGGCCGCTTTTACTCCCTTTTCCCACCGTCGAAACAAGAAGCACCAGGGCTGCGGAGCGGCAGAGGAGCTCGGGATGCTCTCGTGCCCGCATCCCGAGGGATTTCCGCTGCGACGTGAGTCAACTTTGATGACTTTCTCTTTTTTTTTCCCCTTTCCGCTCCCAGGCAGTGCCAAATGGAGGAGAACTTTGCCGCCGGCGTCTTCACGGGACTCCGAAAACACCCGTCTGGAGGAGGGTGGCAGAGGTGAGGCCGGTGGGTGCTGTCGGGGTTGGGTGCTGCCAGGATGGAGGACCACCTGCATGGTGCCCATCTTCGCTGCGTTAACCCCCTGCGACCAGGCAAGGAGAAGACCCTGGAGGTGTCCAGATGTGTGTCACCCACCTCTCGCCATCACCTTATTTTTTCCTTTCCTCCCTCCAGGCAAACGGCTGCAGATCAAACCCCGTCTATGAGCAAACCCCGACCCCGCGGCAACCCCACCAGCTCAGGAACCGTAGAGCCGGGCACGACCTGGCACCTACCTCAGGACACCGTGGCCAGACGCAGCATCCCCTTCTCATCTTGTTTTTTTGTTTTTCCCGGGACGTCGTTTTGGCAACGAGCCGGGTGGCAGCGTGGGGAAGCGCCACCCATTCCCATGGCTTTGTTGGAAATGTTTGAATTTGCCAATAAAATCTCTTTTCAGCTGGTTTGTTGAAGGTCCACCAGGCTCCTTGGATGCTTATGGGACTGGGAAGGGGCTCCAATCCCCATCAGTCCTCCAGCAGATCCCGGTTCTGCTGATGTCCCGGACACGAGGTGACACAGGGACCTGAGGAACTTTAATACCATCACGCGACGTGCCCGCATCCAGGTCAGCCACTATATTGGGGACAAGTCACCGTGCTGGGACATAACGGGGCGTCAAGTCCCCCGCACGGCTCAGCCTCAATCTCTCGGTGCCCAGAGCTCACCTGCATCCATCCCGCTCCGTCCCCTTTGCTTTTGGGAGGAGATTTCTTGGAGCGGAGGCATGTGCCGAGAGCATCCCTCGTGGAAAACTGCGTTGGGAGCAGCGGTGAGCTCTCCACCAAATGCTCCGTCGGGATCTCCCGTGGCCGGTTGCACTCTGACCCCAACCTCTCCCCATCCCAGTGGGGCTTTGGTTTCCGTTGGGGGACACCAAAGATGTGGGGTTTTTTTTCGGGGTTTTTTTTGGGAGGTCCCTCCAAATCCAAACAAAAGCAGCAAAGCATTGTGCCGAGCCGAGTACCTCCGACCGTGCAGCCGATGGGTTTTCGCATCCGTGGGTACAATTTCCGTGGGGATTTCGAGGCGGTGAGTGCTGTTCCCCCCCTCCCTACCCCACAGCTGCGATTTTGGGGACAGCTGCAGGGATCTCCCCTTGCCCACAATTCCCGAGAACCGGGAGCAGCCGTGCGGGGCGATGGGATTTGCCCATCCTCTGCCCATCAATCGTAGCACCTTCAGGCAAAGCCCTGCGGGGAAAAAGGCGACAGCGGGGACGTGGGGGAGCGCGGAGGCTCCCTGGGGTCCCAGCACCCAAGTGATGCCATCACCACCGTGATGCTGTGGGCTCAGGTGCCCCACGGCTCCGGCGAGGGGCTGACGGCTGCGCTTTCACCCCCGTGACCCGGTGGCGCGGGGTCCCCCCCTCGGGGGTTTCCCTTCCCCGGGGGAGCACCCACAGGCGCGTGCACCCCGTGGAGGGGTCTTGTTGTCCCCCCACTGGGTGCTCCCCCCTCCCCAGGTCTGGCTCGCGGTGGGGGATTTATCCCCTGACTCAAGCGACTCGGGGCGCGGCGTGCCACCAAAGGCGCAATGCCGTTAAGGCCTCTCTCCTCCCTGACCTCCCATTTAAGATGCTGAACTGGGAACTGGGGCGGGGGAGGGATTTACTGCCACTTGGAGACCAGTTTGGGGTGGCCACATCCCCAGCGTCCCCCATGTCATCGCGGGAACCAGTGCGTGTCGTCCTCCCCCCGGGGCAGCGCTCGTACTCCAGCATGTGTACAGTGATTATTTTTTTTTTTTTAAATTAAAACTTCATCATTTCCGTTGATATTAAATGTCTTTTATTAACCTGTGTGGTTTGATATGTAAATAAAGAGCATCTTCCCCGGAGTCCCCGGTCAGAGCGTGGCTTTGCTCTTTTTTTTTTTCGTTTTCCAGCGATCCGGCACGAACATCCCCTGGAGGAGCTGCTAACGCTGCTGCTCTGCTCCCCAAATCCCTCAGGTTTTTTAATTATTATCAATTTTTTCCCCTCCCCTTTTACCCAAAAAGGTGGTTTCCTACAAAAACAAACAAACAAAAAAAAAATCAAAACACTTGAGTTCACTAAATTGAATGAGACGATGATGCTGTGAGTCCCCAGGGATGGGTCGCTGCGGGATGATGGTGACCGGGAGCTTCGGCGTTTTCCCGTGGCCGCGCCTCCCTAACGAACAGGCTAACGGGGATTAAGGCTCGCGCCGTGCTAATTAAGCGAGGCAATGAGTAGCCCCCGGAGGCCCGCCGCTCTGCCGCCCACCGGCACCGCTTCTCCCCTTCCCGGGGAGGAGGATTGGAATTTATTGCCGGCTGTCGTTAAAGCGCTGCTTGGGGCTGATTAATTTCCGGGGGGTGGGGTGTGTGTTGGCCGGAGGGGTGGCACGGGGCAGCGTTTCTGGAGGACACCGTAAACATTTCCTGGAAAACCCTCCTGCGGTGGCTGCTGCTGGCACAGCTCTTGGTCCCCTGCCGGGGAAGCAGGTGCCGGGCTAACATCACCCCCCCGGCTCACTTTTCTGCCTGTCATCGGGGTGGCTGTCCCCTGTCCTCCTCCTCCTCCTTCTTCTCCTCCTCCTCGACGCTCATAGCTGGTCCCACCTTGGGCATCATCAGCAATGTGCCCTGGTGGCCGAGAAGGCCAATGGCATCCTGGGGGGCATCAAGAAGAGTGTGGCCAGGAGGTCCAGGGAGGTCATCCTCCCCCTCTACTCTGCCCTGGTGAGGC